CGATGGTGGATGGGATTGGACAATGCATTCGAAGCGCGCTATTTGGCCCACCATCACTGCGTATTCCTTCAAAGGCTGTGGGTGGAGAGTGGAAATGAAGTTTAATATCTTTATTTATATTTTAATTTCAATTTTATCAACCTATATTTTTATATATGTACTTTATTTCACATTTCCATTTTTTATATCAATTAATTTAACTTTCATCATTTTTTAATTAATTATTTCTTTTTTTTTTAATATTATATTTTAATATCATAATTTTTCAATTTAATTTATTCTTTTTTTCTATAAAAATTTACGTAAACTTTTGTTTAAATATATATTTTTTCTACTTTATTCTACATATATATTTTTTCTACTTTTTTATTTTTAAATATTATTCTCCTCAGTGTATTTTGTAATTGCGGATTTTACTTTAACTTTTTTAAATTCAATTATTTTATTCGAAATTTTCGGGTAGATTTTTTGTTAATTTTTTTTCTATTTAAATATTAAACTCTGTATTTTATTTTTAGAAAGAAACTCCCTTAATTTTTTGGTTTGAATTTTTAAATTATAAATTTTTCTCCACAGTGTATTTTGTATACGTTAATTTTAATTATTTATATATTATTAGCGCTTTGTAACCGCTAAAGCGATTTTTCGGCCAAGCTCCTCTTCCAATTTGTGGTTTTGCGTCTTGAGGTTTTTTCCAAAAATGGAGGGATTTTAATTAATTTTAAATTATTTAAATTTAATTTCGCAATTAACTATATTAAATTTATCTTTATTAAAAAAAATAATGTATACATTTTTGATTATTGCTATATGTTTTTAATAATGTTTCGAGTTTAATTTGTTAAATTAAAGTCTTTCAATTAATTTTTTTAAATAAACTTTATCAAAGATTACTTTTATAATAAATTCTTTTAAAACTATTACTTTTTGATCATGCTGCGTATTTTTTCTTTTAATTTTAATATTTTTAAGATTTTCAAATTTATATTATTTTATGCAATATTTTGTGATTGTTAATTTTAAAATTTTTTTTATTTTTTTTTGTTTTCTTTTAGGCAAATTTGCTTTGTTTCGAGTTAAATATTTTAAATAAAGGTCAATAATTTTTGATTCTTATTAAAATGTGAGTATTAATTTTCAAAAACTAATTTAAAAAAATTATTATTTTTGTGTTCAAATATTTGATTTTAATTTCTTCTGCAGTGTGTTTTGGTTGTGATAAGTTTAAGTATTTTTTTGTAATGTTTGATATTTAATAGAATTGATTACTTAATAATTTTGTCGAATAAAATGTATATATACATATATATATATAAGATTTTGTTTCGAATTTTTTTTAATTAATATTTGCTTATTATATTTTTTAAATTAATCATTTCGAAATTATTATTAATTTATTCAGCTTCTAAAAAACTTTATATTGGTCTAATTTTGTTTTGTATAAATATTTTTAATTTTTCTAAATTTACGTTTTTATTCAAATAATATTTTTTTTCAATTGAAATGTTTTATTGTATAATATATGTATACCTTTGCATTTCGAGTTTCGAATAATTAAGTTTTTTAAATTCAAATATTTCGGTATATATTTTTTATTAGTTACAATTTTTTTGCAAATATTAATTTTATTTTTAAAATGATTTTTTATAATGTCTTACTGTTGTTATATTTTATTAATTATTTTTAATATTTTAAATAGAGTTTTGTTTTCAAATTTCCAAATTTTTTCCTCTTAAGTTTTTATATTATTTTTTCATCAAATTATATTTTGTATTAAATTTAACAAATTTTATTTATAAAGATTTTTTAATGAATTCCCTCTTTTTATTATAATTTATTTTTTATTTAACACCAAATATAGTTGTTTTAATTAATTTTTAAAAATTATTTCCTCCAGCATTTTTATTAATTATAGTTCATTAATTAAAATTCATAAATAAAAATTATTGTTCTTTCAGTTATTTATTTTTTTTATTTTAATTTTTTTTTTTTGTTAATTTTAATTATTTTAAATTAAATATCAATATCACTCTACTCACCGTTATGAATTGGGGCGGCCTGTTTGGATAATCATCGCGATTTAGATGTGCATTTACTGGTACATCCGATGGTAGATCTGTTGTTAAGATTTTTTTAAATAATTTTGATTATGGTTTTTTGAACTTCATATTTTTATTGTAGACATATTAATATTTTTACACTTAAGCCGCACGCATCTTTATTTATTAGAATTGTTGTTTTTTTTACAGCATTCACTTAATCTTATGCAATATAGGCAGACACAAGCACAAACAAACATTTAAACACGTAAATTAAATATAAAAAATGCACTAAAATGAAATAAATCACAACATAAGGACATGCATGCAGGCATATGTATATGTATATAGCTTCAAGCAGCGTATTGGCATTCGCAGAGTATAGATTATTGCATATAAAATTAAAAAAAAAAAATAGATTTATATATATATATATGTATATATACAAATCATAGGAAAGCTATATAAACAAATAAAAACAAAAAAAAAAGTTTTAAATTAAGTAAATTTCGATTTTGAGGAAATCACAGATCATTGAACACGGAATGTAATAGCCGTTTATATGTATATTTGTATGTGTACATTAAAAAAAAAAGAATTCTTGTGAGGAAGACAAAAAATAAGAATTAGTTTAAGCGCGAACACAATGCACACTGTGAACCCAAACCCAAAAAAAGAAGGTAAAATAGTTTCGAAAAATTCTTTTGCAGAAAAAAATGGAATGTAGAAAAATCTGAAATAAAAAAATTAAAAAATTGGAATGCTTAACCAAAAAATACTGTCTTGAATGAAAATTGTTTGCTCAGTGAAAACCTTCATTTTCACCCATAAGCACGATGGGCTAGTGTATACTGTTTGGCGACAGCGATAGCTGAGTGGTTAGCAATTCGGAAGGCTCGAGTTCGAATCTTTATCCGACCAACATTCACAAATTGTAGAAAATTAATTTAAATAAAACATTAAGTTAAATTTTCTAATTGCCACTAATTGGCATATTTGGGAAGGAGTTTTGAAATGAAAATCTTTACATTTTTTTCTGTCTATTTTGAATAAACTCCTTTGCTATCGATTAATTTATGATATTTTTGCTTGAAGAATATGCATTTCACGTTGCATCCAGCTCCATTTTTTTCAGACATTTCTATGTCTGTAGCGGGCGTGTCTGAACCCCAATCTCATTAGAATTTCATAGTTTCACTCTTTAAGCTCATTTTAAGCTATAAACCGAGTTTCATTTAAATCGGAGCAATTTCAATTTTACTGCCTACTAGTGTAAGAGGCATGGCAGTTGTCTAACTTCCTTAAGATTTTTTGTTTCTGCTTTAATAAATGAACGATTATACATAAAATTGCAGCAAAGTCGGCTACACTGTGCGACTTTCTGTCAAAATTAATTTGCTTATCAGCTCATTTTGTCTAGGAAATACAATAGCATTCAAAAAAAAAACAAAAAAAAAATGGTTTTAATTTCAAAAATTATGCATTTTAGAATTTTAATGAAACTTTTTCAAATTTTCCTAATGCCATAATGATTTGAATGACTTGTATATAATAGGTATTTCAGAATTAGCGATGACAGTTCTTTACAATTAAAACATGATAATTTTTTTTTAAATTAATACATGTAAAAAAAGATTTAAAATATAATGAGCAAACTTTAAAAAAACTCAAAAATTTAAAATTTACATTTTTAAAGAGAAGAGCTAGTTTTATCGATTATCAATTTGTCTTAGGTACAAAAAAAACATACACATATGGACACTAAATAAATGACTCTTTTAATTTTTTAATCACTTTGCATAAACTTGCCTTTTTTCTAATAAAAATTATTTACATTCTCATTTTATTTTTGATCAAACATATATTTAGGAGACAGTATATGGAATAAGAAATATGTACTCTCACAACTCATTAATATATAAAGTCCTGCGCCTTATGATATGCAACAAAAATGTGGCATACTCGATGTAAGTTGATTTCAATTATTGCAGCACAGTTTTAGGCTTGTAGTCTCATAATACTGACAGAATTTTGTGATTAATATCTGCATACCGTTTTAAAATGTAAATACGTTTATAAATCACGCTAAACATGCAAAAGTCACAACACACAGAAAATACGGAGTAAATTAAGTGGTATATTTATTACTAGCGCAGCATACTTCACAACGACAATATCTATACAACAACAAGTAGTAAGAAAGATTGGTGGAATTTTTATATGGAGTTAAGGATATTATTTGAGAAGACAGTGTTATTTTATCGTGGGAAACTTACGGTTCCTATTTGTTTAAGTAAATTTTCAGGCTAACCGCTTTTGCTTTCCAATTTTATTTCTCTATAAATATTTACTAAACGGCAGCAAGCACGACCAGTTTAGAAGCGTGTGACTCAGAATTTGTTGTTAAAAAATGAATAGTTGACTTATATTTATTTTTTAATTTTTTTATTTACTTCTTTTGGCGTAAAAGCATCGCAATCATTTAGAAAAATGCTGAGCGGACAAGGTGACGCGATGATTTCATTAATTACTATATATTTGAAATGCATGAGAGATATGATAGTATGAACATTATTAAGACATAGTGTGAATTACAGTGCGTTTGAAAAGAGTTCACGACAAGAGTGTGATTACTGATGATATTTACAGGGTAGTTATGCTTTTTTTACGCTTTTCGAAGAAATTTAGTACGCACAGAGTTGCAATTGCAGGCATTTGATGAAAGCGCGGCCGTCAGATGGCGCTGCTGGATTAAGCTCAGCGTGCAACAGTGCAATCGATTGGAATGCAAGTGATTTGGATTTAAATGATTTAATATGCCATTTGCCAATCAAATCAGTGCATAGTGCTTAAGATAATACACAACATCGAGGTTAATGCAAGTTAAACGTTTTCAATAGCAGACGACATGTTGAGCCAGATAAACAAAAAAAAATAAGCTGGAGTCTAAGTTCAATATACCTGTATTTAAACATGGTAGACGATTCAATTGATCATTGTCATGTAGATGATCGATATTTATATCGATAACCTGTGTATTGGGTAGACTGTAGCGTTTCTGTAGTCGACGCACACCGCTTGCACCAACCGCACGCAAACTGGACGGCGGCACAGGACTACGACGACTGCTTGCGCTATCAGAATAATAACCGCTCTGAGCGTTGGCATGCGCACGACTCGGTGCAGTGAGACGCGTCGGCGTGAAGGAGCGTCTTGGTGACGGTGTTGCGTTAGTGCGTTCATGTTGCACCGGTATGATGAGCTCACCGGCGCCACCACTTAGTGGGTACGGATATTTACGTCCACTACGCTCACTTTCATGCTGCTGTATGGGCGTAACGGATGCGGTACGCGGTGGCAGTGCTGACGATGAACTATTCCATTGATTGCTTATAAATTTATGACCCTCGCCGGGAAATAGTATACCGAATTCATAGCCAAAATCGTATTTAAAGTAAATTAAACCGGTATTGGGATCGACACATTTCGTACCTGTTTGTATGCGGAGGGCGAGAGTGGGCAAGAGAGAGGAGAGAGTGTGTGCGGAAGTGGAAAAACGCGCGCGTACCCGAGATTTATTTTTTAGTATGATTGGCGTAAATTATTGGTTGGTTGGGAGGGCATAAAAGAGAGAGACAGTAGACATAAAATTTTTTATTGTAAGAAAAATAATTAAATAAATAATAAATACTTAATAAAATGAAAATAAACAATTAATATATATAAATATAAATAAATGAAAATTTATATATTTGTATATGTTTATATATATATACATATATGTTTGAAGTAACGAAACAAAACATTCCAAAAACATGACTCTATGCATATTTGTATATATGTATGTATGTTTGTGTACGTATTAGTTGTAAAAAAAGGAACTCTTGAAAACTGCAGGCTAACTTTGTATATATGTAAAGTTGGAACTGAAAATCACTTTTAATAGGGATTGCGCGATTAATCAATTAGTTGACTAAGCTGGCAGTCAATTTATTTTGATGATTAATGATTTTAATTAATGATTAACAATTTTTGTTTAATTAAATTTTTAATTTTATCTAAATTTAAGTATTTTTCGGATTTAAAAAATAATTAATTATTATTAATTATTTAATTATTCAACTATTTTAATGCCATTAAAATCATTAATTTCGAATATTTATTTTAATCAATTAATAATTAAATTTTTACAAATATTAATTTATTTAAATTGATTAATCACAAGACTCATTGATAAAGCTCTGCAAAATCATTAATTAACTATAAATCAAATTAATGATAATTTCATTTAAAATATTAATTAATGATTAATTAAAAAAAAATATTAATTGAGTAATCGCACATCCCGGAATAATGTAAAATAATCGCCAATTCGATGTTGTTTCTCTAGTGATGGACAAAAGTATTCGTACTCCGACTTCTAGGGTTCCAAGAGGGGTTTCTTTTGAATTTTTTTTTACTGCATTTGAAAAAGAATAATCCAGAATCAGAACTTGACAGCTAAAAATTAATTTTAAGCTACATTTTTTCTGACTAACAAAGGTGACCTCCATTCAAGAAACGGCAACTTAGTGCTTGAACCGGTAAAATTCCAGATAAGCACGGATTGAAAATTCAAGTACTGAGCGGCTGACGTTCGGCAGCCTGCACCATTAAGCTCCACATATAACCTAGATTATCAAACGCTTTCAAAAGACCACAAGGCTGGAATCCGGTTGATTATAGATTTAGACAGCGTGTACTAGTGAAGGATCACAATCCTTTTGGAACACCGCCTTGAGAACCATAACACGAAACATAGTACATTGTACAGCGAAACTATTCAATAATTTCTAAGAAGTATTTTCTGTAATGCGACTGCTGGAGTCAACCCTGCAGAAATATGCTTGAAGCCGAACCGAACCCAAGGAGGAAGTATTCGATATTTCTGGTGGGTAGGGGCTCAAAACTTTTCCTGCGGTAAGGCAACTGAAGTCCAAAAGTTCCCAAAATAGTCTTTATATCGGAACAATATGGAATTTTATCCGACTAAAAACTGTCAATCCCGCAATATTCCTCAAAAGCTATTTTGAGGAATATTTTGGGCACTATAACAGCCACAACAACAGGAAGTACTCAACTTTATGGACTCCACTCAGCAATATACCAATTACTGAACTGCTGGGAACGAGTTGTCTTGCGAGACCTCAAGACCCAAATAATATTGGCACAACTAAAACCTGTAAAGTGTAGTATTCTTAGCACCGACTCATCTTGATTCGACACCGATATACCTAACTCACACCCTGCACTGGACTGATTACCTCGTTGGGGATTGTGTAGCTGTGTAGAACGTCTCATATATCAGGAAAGTCTTCTCTAAATATGATTAGCGCTTAGCCATTCTTGAGTTGACCGCCCGTACTTTGCGTTAGTGTCTTTGTGCCAAAAAGGATTTCTGAATTCGCCTTTCTCTTACTACAAGAATGGTTCACAGTAGTCGAGCGATAAGTTAAGGATGAGCCGACATAATTTACATTAACAGACTGTTGAAGAATTACTGCTGTGTGACTGGTAGAAACTGAAAATTACGTGCGTTTCGAAACCAATCTTAAGGAGACTGCGCAAGGAGTCCAAAGACTTGAAAAAAGTGCAAGATTTTCTGTTTAATTAATCGGGCAGAGGATGTTTATACCTTCCAAGGGAATGAATGGTCCTGTAATCTTTCTTTGTTATGGCAGAAGATCGATGAATGCCAGTTCTGCCTTCAGTCGGAGGGCAGGATATTTAATAAAATCACAAAGAAAAGCCATGAATATGAATACTTTTGTCTATCTTGATCTGTAAATTGTGTGTATATTTCGCATATTACTATGCATTTGCTTACTTACCGTATTGCGAGACGCGGGACTCATCACGATAAGCCTGCGGTTTGTTGTCACCCTCGCTCGGAGCACGCTTGAAACCGGGACGGAAGGAGTGTGTTATAACCTTCGGTTCAGCATTACCATTATACAATTTTGTGGTTTTGTTACTCTTCTGCTGCAGATCACTGCTAATGTCGCTAATGAATTGATGTGACTTTTGCAAGAAAGTCGAACTCATCTGTTTGCCCTGCTGATCGATCTGAGACTGTATATAGCCGTATTTCGGCGGCGAACCGACTTTCAAATTCATGTCGTCACGTGGAAAACGTTTCTCCGCAACAGTATGATCCGGTTGTAAGGTCTGATAACGCTGTTGATAGCTTGTGCTGCTATGTTTCGTGCTCTGCATGGACGAGTGACGATTCAATGATTGTGTACGTTGACTGCTGTTGGCGGTGGTGCTGAGACTACCACCGCGTTGTGAACGCAATTCATTTGGATCAACTGTGATTTTTGTGGGCATTTCGGGACCACGATCGAATTCCATGGGGGAGAGTACACGTTCGTAGGCACGTGGTACACTACATGCGCGCCCCTTTTGGGGCGGTTCAACATGCCGGAAACGCAGTGGTCCATTTTCACCGTGTGGTGTCCAGAGCGGACGCATTTTGGCGTTCTCAATTTCACTATCGTAATCGCTTTCGCGGAACTCGCCTGGCACGAATTTGGTCGGTGTCGGCGGTGGTGGCACACGTGCTTGTGTCGGTGTGTAACGACTTGGTGATGGACTGTAGGGGAACGGCTCGAGTGGTGTGCTCACCAACTGCTTACGTTCCTGTTGCTCCTTCTGACTGTCGAAGTGTATGACGCGCTTAGTCTGTTGCATGTTCACCACGCGTTGGCATGTTTCGGATGATTCCTTCATTTGCATGACATTTTTCGTCTCGGTCGCCATTTTAGCCATGTGCAGCGGTGTGCCGGCGATGGCGTTGTAGTAGAGCGCTGGCTGTGGCTGCGGCTGTGACTGTGAGCGTGGCTCAAATTTCGGTTGCTGCTGTTGCTGCTGCTGCTGCTGCTGTGTGGCGGCAATAAATTTCGCAGCAACCGGTTTCGGCTTGTACACTGTCTGCTGTTGATATTGCTGTTGTTGGGTTTTTTGCTGTTGGTAATATTGCTTCTGTTCTTTGCTCTCGGTCTTGATCTCGTGACGTATTTCCTTTTTAATCGGCTCAAACTTTTGCCTTGGATAAGTACTCACAGCTGGTGGTGTGGGCTCGAATTCCATGGGCGATGGTGTGATTACAACCACAGGCGATTTATGCCCGTTGGTGAGATTGGTGGACTTTGGTGTTGGTGTTGGTGGAAATACAACACGATAGCCCTTGATCTCATTATCAGTTTCCTGTGTACGCGAGACGGAGCGAAAACGCTCCTCAACTTCGCTGCTGTAGTCACTGAATTCCGCTGGCGTTTTCCGTTGCGCCGGTATGGGTGTGATTGTGGGTGTTATGGGCGTCTTCACGGTAGGCACTGTTTGATATTTTGGTGCGCTAATATTGCTGACATTGCTTATGTTGGAGGCATTGTAGTAGCTGCTGCTCATACTCGAAATACTCTTGTAGTCCTGGCAAAGGGTTGGAGAGAAATAGTGGCATATTAATCACTGTAAGCTTTGGAGTTGATGAAGGTTGAGCTGAGTTAGAATGACGAAAAATAACAAGCACCAAAACAAATATGAATTATTGCAATGTAAAATAGCGTGTGAGAGCGTAAAATCATCTATTTTATTAATAAAAAAAGGATGAAAATAAATAGTCATACAATATATTGCTCAGGCGGGCAAACCTTACAAACTCTTGCGTAATGCATGAACATAATTTCTTTTACTCTTAATTGGCAGTAAAAATAATTTAAGGACCACAAAGAATTTTAGTTTGTACTCATCATGTTTATGAGCTGAGCAGCGCTGTCTCTACGAAACCCTAATAAAGCCCTGAGGAAGCCCATAATTGCATAGACGATCGCGTTAATCACTCAATGGCAAGGCTTAGATAAATAGAGTCACTTCTAGATTGCTCTTCTAGAGTGAAGTCTCAACCTACTCGACTACCCATCTACTCATTTTAGCTGTGTTTGAGATGACAGTGAAGTGTAGTAGTCAGGATCTATGCGCGTCTTTATGAAAAGGTACAGATTGTGAGGAAAAATTAGTGGAGGAAAAAAATCTGTCGGCAACTTGCAATTGTCTTCGGATTTAGAGTACCCGAGCTGTGAATAGTTTTAGAAGCAAATTTTGGTATAAATTACAAAAGGAATATACTGTACCAGAGTGTTATTTTAGTCAAGAACCTAGCATTTCCTCCTCGAGTAAGGCGGCTATCTTGACTTTCAGTGGATTTAAGTTTGGTTAAGTAGTATTTGGCATCTTTGTCGAAAGCGATGAATTATTTTTCGTTAAGCCTAAGTTAGCTGCCGGATCGCAGTGACAGAGCAAGACAAAGGAGCTATTGGAGATCATAGTTTACCAACGTTCCTAGGATTTACGATTTATACTAAACCTTTTGTCGAGCCTTTCAAGTATAGCCTTTCAAGCACTCGTAAAGTGCTTAATTGTCTAAATTTTACACCTTATGGATTTTAGAAATATCTATTAGATAACCTTTTAGATTAATATCTGAAAAAATAGTCCAAATAGCACAAACAAGTGGACAAACCGGAATGAAGTATATGTGCTTGTTGCGACCCAACTTTCACCCAGCATTTTTTTGAAAATATTAAAGATATTTTAGGGTTCTCCGATCTACATAACAGACATTTTACTTTCCATCATTGCTTGGCTAAAATTTGGTTTTTGAAGGCATTAAGCAACGGATCTCCTCAGAACATAACTGCCATGTTACCTTTAATGGGTACTAAAGACCAAACAAAAAGGTGGATTTAAATTAAATATTTGGGGCCGCGAAAGCTGAGTGACCTGACATTCGGAAGGCCAGAATTCGAATTTAACATCAGCAAGTTATAGAAAATGAATTGTTCCATATACGATCACCTCTCGACAGGGAATATATTTCTAACATAAAATCCAAGCTACGCCTAAAAAAATTCATCAAAACTGTGAGTCCACCCATTTGTTGGGTAAAAAAATCAACATATTGAAGAAGAAACTCGGCCGAAAATCGCTTCATATCGCTTATATATATTTAGTGCTCTATTCCACCTGAACTTAGTCCGCCTCACTCGTTGATATCTAACGTTTTGTGGTGAAAATCAGTTGAGTAAATACGTAAAATCGTTGGTTCGAATGGAGTGAAATAAAATAGGAAAATAAATATAAAAGAGTCAAATTATTTAAAAATTTTGAAAATCGGAAAACCCCTCAGGTGGGACTGCCAAATTGAACTCACTTTAATACTTTTTCCCAACGACCCATTTTCGAGCTCTCAATAACAGCACATGGCGAAGAAAGAGTTCGTAAAGTTTTCCAATGTTCTCCAAAGTGTGGAGAAAGTGAGAAAACCCAGACTCCTGAACAATACCTTGACTCTGCGTACTATAAGTAAGAATCTCTTACTGAATCAATGACAATGTGAATGTTGGCAATGGTTTTCCTCCAATAAGTTTTCCTGGAAACTATTAAATAGTCTGGCTTTCCTCAATGTATAGATAGTTTTTTGCCTTTGTCATCGCACGTCAATGCGTGGAGAAATATTTTTTCGGAACCGATTTATATGAAAAAATGCTTGAAATTTGACTTGTAAGACTTTAATTAAAATTCCATGGGGACGAAGTCGCGGGGAATCAATGGTATACTCGTATATATGTATACTAGCTATGCCCTGCAACGCTTCGCTGTCGCACATACTCATTGAATGTATGAAAAATTATTAGAGAGAGAGGAATATCCCGATTATTTTAATAAGCCAGCCCCCGGTCAATTTCTCGGATAGGAATAGTTGGACTTTTTTCATAGGTCGGTCTCAAATCATTCGGTCGGTAACCTTTAGAGGTTTTTGAAAATCACTGCATTTTGCCTTTTATATCAGGCTTTGCCCTGAATGATTGACAGATCAACTCACACCTTTAACCACTGGCCGTAGAGACCAGAAACTCAAAAGGTATGGTCTGAGCATAACATATGCACTCGATAAGAATGGCATTTCCGGTAAGTGTTGCGGGAACCGATCTATTCGAAAATATCAAATTTATTTGTAGATCGTTTGATTTACATGAAATTTGGTACTTATTCGAAGAAGTTGTATTTGTTATTTGATTTACAGTAGAGGTTTTGGGCCGAAATTGCCATTGGGAACACTTTTCCTATAGGAAGTGAGCCTGGGATCGATTCGATGATTCGGCTTTCTTTATTTGTGGAACATACATATATAATTTTAATATAAAAAAATGAATGTTTATTTGTTAGTGATGCAAAGACTCGAGAAATCTACAGAGGTTGCTATAAATCTGAGAAGGTTTAGAAATAAAAAAAATTAGCTTTTTGTCAGGAAAGGTCGGAATTGTTTTTTCTAAATTTATCAGGCAGAATAAAAATTAAAAAAAAGAGATAAAAGATGGTTCACAAAAGATTTTCAATGTGACAATAAATAGGTCACAAGGACAGTCGGAATTATGAGGCATAGATTTGGAACTACCATATTTTTCACACGGTCAGCTTTACGTGACGGGTTCACATGTGGGAAAGCCATCTTCTCTGTACATTTACACACCGGAATAGAAAACAAAAAATGTTGTTTATCAAGCTGCGTTACATTGAAAAAATGTAGAAAAATCGTAAATAAATCGTAAGTAAATGTTTTCAAAAACTATAATTTCACGCTGGACAATGCGTGATCCCACAGGTTATAATAAATTTAGTGAGAGTAAACGAAGCTCACTAAAAGTTTAATTAAAATTAAACTAAAGCTGAGCATTTGTAATTTTTTGCTATTTTTTATAAAAATACAATGTAAAAATTAACAATAAAATAAGTGAAATAAATCATGCATGACTTCACTTGCAGCAACTCCAAACCATGCAAGAACTTAATTTTAAATAAAATATAATAAATTCCATTTATAATACAATAATTATATGTTTGTATAGATTTTGTATAAAATGTATGCATCTATATTTGTATTTATGTGCTAAATATTTGAAATTAATGATTGCGCTCATTCCATGATGATGATAACCCATTGCTTAAAGCATATTTATAGGCGTGCAGCAGCGATGATTTAAATATTCTTTTTCTTTGCAGATACTATTGCATATTTCAGACTAATAATAAATAATATATAGTTGATGATTGCACAAAATAATTGCGAATATTTTATATGTATTTATATATGTATTATATGTACGTATGTATTGTAAAATGCATTTGCGGCGCTTTATTTGTGTTTAGTGATCTTTATGCTTCATTTTATGTTTTCGATTTTTTTTACAATGATTTTTAAATGACTTGATGACCATGAATGTGAGAGTAAAAATTTTACAAGGCAGCACAGTAGGCTTGTCGACTGAAAATAATTATTACATTATCGAACTTAACGAGGCTTAGTTGACTATAAACTCTACTTCTTGTATAAATATACTAATATTAAATTAAAGTTAGCTAAGAGAATAAATAATTTACAAGAAAAAATACTACATTTTTTTCATTCAGATCATTGTGATTTTTTTTTTAATTTTTTTAAGACTTATCCTAAATGATTTCTAGCGATCAAGACGAGCTTTCTTATATATATAATGCAACTAAAAATTAAACACAATAAAAACAAGTTTGCTACTAAATTTTTGTACTGCAAGTATTCAGCAGAGAAGTGAACAGCAGCGCTTATAGGAAAATTAGCAGTTCTAGGGTACGCTGTACCGTCTAAATCTAAGCAACCGTCTTCAGAAATAGTTTAGTGAGGAGCACTTGCTTATACTCATATAACAGCACTTTAACAATAATTGGATTTTTTTTAATAAATGGCAACTCTGTTCAAAAAAAGGAAATGTCATTATTGACAATACCATTTGAAAATAATATTTCTTGTTAAACTTCTGCCTACAAAAAATAATTATGAAATACGAAAGAAAAGCTTAACTGAAGGTTTCAAGGCCAGGTTCTTCAAAAAAAAATTTCAAAAACTCAAAAATTTTTGTTCATGTAAATTGTCAGAAAATACTCATAAAAATATAAAAGGAGTAGTCCCGAAGCTCTTTAAAACCAAGAATTATAGAAACTTTAATCGCCTTTTTCTCGAAGCCACTCATATTTGGCGGCCGCGGTAGCTGAGTGGTTAACATTGCGTACTGCCATTCGGAAGGCTCGGCTTCAAATCCCCGTGCGGCCAACAATCAAAAGTTATAGAAAATTAATTTAAAATGCGGTGTCGCTCTCGGCACGGAATGTCCACGCCCCCGAGTGTATTTCGGTCATGAAGTAAAAGCTCCTCGTAAGAGAACCATCAGCCGTTCGGAGGCGGCTTTGATAAATAAGTTTTGGAAAATATTGAAATTAAATTTAAATAATGATTTTATTACTTTCTAAGACTTTTTCAATATCTGAGAAGACCAGTTAATAATTGAAAATAACACTGTGATATTTTTATCAAACCAAAATAGGTTAAGAAGACAAAAAGCGGTAAGAATTTTGAAGGAAGGAAAGTACTCGTTGTTTTAAAAACGTTATTAAAAATTATTAAGAAACTATATTGGGTTATAATAAAAATATATTTTTCTTTTTTAATTCGATACTTTGAAAAATATATACATATATTTTCAAATTCTGCTGTGCTTTCTTCTAAAGTGTATAAACGGTTCTAAAGGCTTTGACTATGAATTATTTCTCAAGGCTATGGGTCTACCTAAATAATAAATGAAAAATCTTTTGATATATAAAATTCTTATATCACAGTGTTTAAAACGAAACTAAAGGGTGATTTTTTAGCTATTATCTCTTTGGCAACACTGGTTTAAACAGCCGACGCATATTTCGTGTTTTGTATCACTGTCAAACGTCTTCAGTTTGGACTCTAATTTAACGAAAAATCGTCTTACAACGGAACAACGCTTGCAAATTATTGAATTTTATTGTGCGTGCTCTGTTAAAAAGTTTAAAAAAAAAAGTTGTCTTCGGCGACGAAGCAGAAGCAGAATTGTCGATTTTGTAGTGAAGATCAGCCAGAAGCATTGCGAGAGCTACCAATGCAACCAGAAAAAGTCACAGCTTGCTGCTGTTTATGGGCTGGTGGCATCATTAGACTGTATTTCTTGAAAGATGATGCGAATCGTAACGTAACTGTTAAGCGCTACCGTTAGCTAATATCAAATTTTTTTTTTGCCTACAATGCAAGAGCTTAATTTGCATGACATGTGGTTTCAACAAGACGGTGCCACATGCCACAAAACGCTTGTACCAAGGGACTTATTGAGTCGCGAGCTCGGTGAACATTTTATTTCACGTTCGACACCGGTCAACTGGGCACCTAGATCGTGCGATTTAACGCCTTTAGACTATTTTCGTGGGGTTATGTGAAAGCTAATGTCTGTACAGACAAACCCGTTTCAATTGACGCATTAGAAGACAATATTGAAGCATTTATTCATGAGATACTGTCCGCAATTTTTAAAGAGTATGGCAAACTGGACTAAGTAAATGGACCATTTGAGACGCAGTCACGATCAACATTGGCATGAAATAATCTTCAAAAATTGAACTATATGGACCGTACTATCGATTCAAATAAAGATTTAAAGCATTTTTCTATGGAGCCCAAAAAAGAGCATTCTTGTCATATTTTACTTTAATGTATCCTTAAAGGAAAAATGCAGCTCAGGTCGCTAAAAAGTTGCATAATTTGAATGGCGATGAGGCCTTAAAAGAATCACAATGTCGAGGTTGGTTTGTCGAATTCACTTCGGGAGATTTTTCACTCAAAAATACGTGTAAGCCTCGTTTAGGTCGGCCAAGTGATGTTAATGATCAAGGTTTCAATCTAATCGGATCGGCATGTAACTGAGCATGGGATTAAAGAGAAGTTAAGCATATCAAAAGAAAGCGTTCATAATCATATATGACATCTTGGATTGCTCGAAGAAACTTGATGTGTGGGTACCACAGGAATTGAAAGAAATTACTTAAAAAATGCCGCTTCAGCGCTTGTGATATACAATACATCTTAAACGCAATGAATATGATCCGTTTTTTGAACAAATCATAACTGGAGATGAGAGTGGAAAAATGGATTGTTTACAATAATGTCAATCGAAAACGATCAAGGTCCAAGCCCCACAAAGTCTAACAAACCACTTGAGAAGCTAATGTTCACCTTAAGCAGATTATGCTGACAGCTTGGTGGGATTGTAAGGGTGTGGTGTATTTTGAGCTACTTCCAAGGAATCAAACGAGTAATTTGGATGTCTACTGTGAACAACTGGCCGAATTAAATACATTCATCAACAAGAAGCGGCCAGAATTGGTCAAACGTAAAGGTGTCATATTTCAGCAGAATAATGCTAGACCATACACACATCTTTGGCCACTCGCCAAAAGCTGAGAGAGCTTGGCTGGGAACTTTTTCACCTTAATACACTGACCTTTTACCGTCAGACAACCAATGGTTTTGACCTTTACAGAACTCATTAAATGGAAAAACTTTCGAAAATGATGAGGTTATAAAATCGCGTTTGGTTTTGTTTTTCAGAAGTTCTATGAGCATGGAATAATGATGTTGCCGGAAAGAAGGCGAAAGATCATCCCACAAAATGGAAATTACATAGTTGATTGAAGTTCTTTGAAGTTGAAGCTTCTTCGCCGGTTTTTCAATTTCTTTTGAGGCAACCTAATATTTATCTTATAGACAATATAATCCACTTTAACTCTTGTATCTAGAGGGAAGCATTGCGAATTTATATGAAACTATTTCTGAATTAATTTAAAGATAATGTGGAAATATAGCTAAGATGGCCCCCACTTCTCTGCTGATCTGCCGCAGTTCCAAATGTCCAAATCTACAGCTTAACTTAAATAGACTATCTTAATTTAATAATGCTAAATTGGTTAAATAAAATGAAAAAAAAATTACACAGTTAGATTACAAGTTGATGGTAGCAACGAAACAACAACAAAAAAGAAACATCAATAAGAACAACAACAACAACTACGTCAACTAGCGAACCTTCTCTTCACGTCTGTATTCATTCTTGTCCGAGTACTCCTGTTTCTCATGGCCACCCTCCTCCTGCTTGGTGGTGTAGTAAAGCTGAGCCGGGGGCTGCTTCTCCAATTGAGTTGGCTGATAGAGTGGCTGAGGCGCTGCTGCTGGTGCTGTGAATTGTTGTGGTACATATTGTTGTTGTTGTGGTGGTGGCGTTTTCAACACTGTTGCCTGTGAAGATTTCGAGCTTGACGTTGATTCGTAAAATGAACGACTTTCTTGTTGTGTTGTTGATTCCATTTTACGAAAACTCGATATCTCTTCAGTATCCGCAGCATAACCGCTAGTCTTGAATGTATGATGGGGCGTTATGGGCACGCTCGGTGTGCCTATCAAACCATCTGTAACACTCTTGCCCACCGGACGGAATGAAGCTTCATCCGATTCGCTGCCACTGTACTTCCAGCGATCGCTCTCGTAATCGCTCTCATAAGGTTGGCCGACACTTAGTTTAGTTGGTATTACCGGCGGTGGCGGCTTGTAGGCTGTTTTAACAATATGTGGCGATGCCGTGGATGTGGGCGTGAGTGTCGGTATGGACATCGGCAGCACTTTAGTGGGTCCTTGTTGGAGATTCTGCTCCAATGTTTTCTCCATGTGTTCGACCAACGATTGACGACGCACATCCGTTTTGGGCGTGTAGCAAATCTCTGGCGGTGAACCGGGCACGAGTTGTATATCATCTAACGGTGTTTTCTCACGTTGTGGCGTTGTTGTTGGTATATTGATGGATTTGTTGATCTCTTTCACGAGGTATGGTGCACTCAAATCTGGCGCCGGCGTTGGTACTTTCTGTACTTTTATCTCACGTTTCTCCTCCTTCTGTTCGGTACCTGAGTCCACCTTATATGTTTGTTCTATATCACTTGTACAACTCTCATAACCACTCAAATGATTTGGTGTCCATAATTTCGACATGGCAAGACCCTCCGCTGAAGGCTTCGGTGAAGGTGAACGTGTGAATTGTTGTGGTGCCGGCAGTGTAGCTGCTGGACGCATGATTGGTTGTCCGTACTCAACTTTAACCTCCTTCGACATGGTGGTCTCATGCTTAAATGTTTGCGAGACGGGTGCCAAGGGCAGTGTGCGTACACCACCAACTGGCGCCTCTTTGGGTGAGAGCTGTGTGGCTTCTAAGATCTTAATGCGCTCGTTGATCAGCTGTGGCTTACTGCTTGCACTATCCAACTTGGGCACATAGCAGATTTCCGGCGGTGAGCCTGGTATGAGATTCAAATTTTTCAGCTCGTCCTCGAGTGTGTTCGCAAGTGTGGCTGACTGTGGGGTCGCGCCGCTAGGGCGTAAGATCGTCAGCGGCGTGGTGCGTTTGGTACTAGCAGCCACCTCTTGCTTCTGATATCGCTCGCCAGGTGGCGGTGGTTGTGTGCCGCCTTGACTCTCGATTTTCTTGAAGAAATCAAAAGATGAAGACTTCTTCTCACTTGTAGAGCTTTCGTATTTCGATGTTGACGTCGTCATGTGCGTTGAGGAGGTTAGTGTTGGTGCAGCGGCGCCTCTATAGCCGTCGGGTGCTGTGCTCAGCAGTTGCTGGGGTGGGGTTTGGGCAATGTTGTTAGTTGTGGCGTTATACGGCTTGGGCGGCACTTGCGGTGGTGTTTGTGTGGAGCCAGTTTTGGAGCGTGTGCTATCTGTATTCGTCGATACCGATTTCAGTTGCTGCCAGTCGGACAGTTCAGTGCTTGTGCCAATGTTAGTTGCTGCGTCGGTGGTTGGCGTCTTCGGCCGTTCACTCAATGTGGGCAGATCTAAGTACGCTTGCTTGTGTTCTAGACGCATTGTTGCCTCGGTAGTGCAACGATGCTCAGTTACTATTTTCGACTCAGATAAGCCATGCAAATCGGTTGCGGTTGAAATATCGGTTTGTGTCGTTTGGAAGGACGGTGGCTCTTTGGTGAAGGTCTAAGGGTTGATGATGCGTTAGGTAGTAGGTCAGCGACGATTATTTGGTGTTTGATTGATTGGTGAGTTTAGTTGAAAGCGTGGAAGTTATATGGATGCATATGAAATGGTTTGATGCGGAAATTCGAATGTTGATGGTTCGAATATTTTTGGTTTTGAATTTGAATTTGTATGATTTCAACATAAAACCCCATAAAGCAATGAGAGAAGCAGTTGGATATGGACAGACATTTTTTTTGTTTTTTTTTTTTGTTTTGTAAGCGAAAATGCGAGTCGATAATCGAACAATTCAATTTTATTGGTAACGTTGGCGAAAAACAAAAAAAAAACAATGAGAGAAAAAGGTTTACAATCATTTTAATTCAGATATATGTATGTAGGTATTTTTATATAATTTTTTTTTTAATATCAATTGGTTCTGCAATAATTCTATTCATACAAATGCAAATGGTCACATTTCTTTTCATAAATAAATTAAATAAGTTAATTTTAAATAATAATAATAATAATAATATAAATAGGAAAATATATATATATTATGAAATTCGTGTGAAATTCGTTGTCATTTATTATTTTGTCTTTGTGATAGAGTGAACATGCAGACTTACTTCGGTTTTCAAATCTTTGGGCGTCTCGTAAACGATTGTCTTGACGACCTCCTGCAGACGTTCGGGTGATGGCTCCAAAATGGCGCAGTCGGCAATGCTTTTCGCTTCACCACCGGCATTGGTGGCCTTCACCATGTATTTGCCAGAGTCACTGGACTCTCCTGAAAATAGTTTTGCATAAAGATGTATGAAATATTACCGTTATTTGGTTGGTATTCAATTCATTTTAGTTCAAATATTTCTTTGCAATTTTTCTAATTTATTTTTATTATTTTATTTTATTTTCTTTATTTTCTTTACTTTCTTTAGCTCATTTTAATTTTATTATTAATTTAGTTTTAATTTAATTTTATTTGGATTTCTCTTATTCGTAACGGTTTTGTCTGGAGCGAATGCAAACTTTATGTAATTTTTCAGTCCAACTGAACATTTTCATTTTTTAATTAGATTTATTAATTTTATGACATTTTATTCTTTTGCTATCCTTTTTATTTTTATTTATTTTGACTAAATTTATTTTTATTTCTTTTATTTTTATTTCTTTTTTTTTTTTTTTTTGTAAATTAATTTAAGTTATTTTGTTTATTTTTATTATGCTGTGTTTTGCGTCAAATTTTTTATTTTTTTATCATCCTTTTATTTTAATTTTAAATATTTGTTATTGTTTTATTTATTTTTTTTTGTTTTACTTTAATTTAGTTTATTTTATGTTAATTAATTTTTTAATATTCAGTTTTGATTTAATTTTTTTATTAATTTCATGACATTTTATTTTTTTTTTTGCTATTTTTTCATTTTTAATTTATTTTAATTTATATGGACTGGATTTATTTTTATTTCTTTTAATTTTATTTTTGTAAGTTAATTCAATTTATTTTATTTTTATTATCATGTTGTGTTTTACGTCTTATTATTTTATTTTCTTATCTTCTTTTTATTTTAATTGTAAAATATTTGATTTTATTGTATTTAATTTTTGTTGCTTTTTTAATCCACCTCACTTCATTTTATCTTATTCTTATTTTTCTCACATTTATACTCAATCACTGGTACTGTCACTCACCCTTCTCGATAATCAGCTTGTAAGAGTTACCCTGTGAGAGTAGACGGTGCTGGGATACACCTGCTTCTTGTAGTGGCTTATCATCCTTCATCCAAACGACCGTTGGTTCTGGCAAACCGGTTACTTCAACTTCCATAATGATTTTTTCGCCACGTTTAACAACTTGTGCCTGCAAGCGTCGGCCAAAGACGGGTGGGAAAATTGTTTCTAAGAAAAAGAGTAAGTAGAATTAATTAACATTAAGAAACCAATGACTCTGGCTCTTCACTAAGTTTTTAAGGTGCATCTGAAAACAAAACGTATATTTACTGTAAACCTTAAATGAACAGTATTGATTTTGGGACTTTGCGCTTTCTATGCGGCAAATGCGAAAAAACTTAAATATTTAGACCCATAAATCATTAAGCTCATTACTTATCACAATAAAAATTTTGTCGTTGTCAGCCGAACCCATTAATTATAATTAATCGAAAACAAGTGGAAAAGAAATGAAAAAAAAAAATGTCTAACCAAATTAAAAATAATAAAATTAAAAAAAAAATCGAAAATAATATAATTAAAATTCTTGCCCACCCAAAAGCTTTAAACTGTATTTTAAATATGAATAAAATTTTTCTGAAAATTTTAGTACATTATTTAGTACGCTCTCGACAACAATAACTACGCGCAAAGGCGGCGGATGTCATAAATGACTAAATAAATAAATAAATAAATAATTTTAAATGGTGACTGATTCCTTAGAGCAGTCGGCAAAATGTACTTTCCATTTGCGAACAACATCTGCAAGCAGCCAAAAGATTTTGGTTTAATATTTTTTTCGTATTTACTTTTGTATATACATACATATTTTTTTAGTTTTCAAATTTATTTATTTTATTTTATTTTTCGATTTTTTTTTATTCACCTACATTTCGGCTTAAAATGCCAAAAACCATTAAATTCATTATTAAACAAATTGAAGAAATGCTGCATTGCAGACTGTTATTTCGGGAATTTCAAGTTTGCTACGCTTTGATATTTTTTCTTAAATGTTAGAAACATACATATGTATGTGGCATGTATGTAAGTACGAGCAAGTACATACGCTACGCATGCATCACAGACACATTGCGAGCGACGAACGAAAAATGTTGAAATTTTGGCAAAAAGCCTCATAAAATAAACATTGTTTTGAGTGGCAAAGGGAAAAAGTGGCAGAAGAAACATAGAAACTGATGATGATGATGCTGATATTGATGGCTGTGATGGTGCACTGTGTGTGGCTTTTGTTTGTCGATGAGCTTGCTTTTGTTCGGTGTTTTGTTTGCTACTCAATGACCGGTTTTTTTTCAAATGCCTCTTTCTCGGTTGCCTAATTTTGCAAAAAAAAAACTATTACGTGACCCTGAACAGTTTCACGCACCCCGCAGCAACTAGAAGACGATTCCTTCCTCTTGTAAGTGATATTACTCGTAAATCAAGAAACCCACTACGGTTGCGTCAAATCTTCAGCAGCAAACAATTTAATTTGTTTATTAAATTTGTAAATTAACTCCATAAATAATTATGTTTATGCACTGCTTAAGGAAAATATACGTTTGCTCTACTATAATTCCAATAAGTTTCCAATTGTTTGCTTGAGGAAAATTCAAGAATTTTAGATTTTTTAAAGAAAATCTTTTTATTTTCCTAAACTTTCAGAGAATGGCACATCTTTCAAAAAATCGAATCATGACCATTATCAGCAATTGTTTTCTCGACTCAGATTGTTTTTGTTTTTTTGTTTTTTTGGAGATTGTAAAATTAGTTCAAGATATCGCAGTAATTTTTTTCAGCGCAAAATAGATTTGTGAACAGATTGAATCAATGTTTCTCTTCTCTAATAAGGGGTCAAATATGAGACACCAATTGCTGTGCCTCACCACTGTACTTATTTACCTCTAAGACCACTAGGTGTTTCAGTCAAAGGTCGTGCTCAGCATGACTCTCTTCTCGAGAGGAATTGAGTATACAGGTGTTAAGAATTTCATTTAGTCTGAAAAGTGTCTGATCTATTACTCTCACTGGAGAGTAACTACAAGAGTTTTACAGACCCGCCTCGTATTGAATCTTGGTCTATAAGGCCTTGGAATACTCAAAGAACTGAACTACAAACACAAGAAGAGTGACTTTAACTGAACCCTCACTGTGAAACATAAGCCAAAAATTTTAGTAATAGTTAGCATAATAAGATTACAGAGACATGCTTAAACCTTCGAAGTAGTTTTTTGCGGTAAATATATTTTCTAACTCTCCAGGTAGAAACATTCTTTGGGAGGTCCCTTCACCACGAACATCTGCCATTCTATAGCGTTAATTTGAAAGCGTCTTTCGTGGAATTAACGATTGGTGTAATGCATGAACTCCTCTGTTTATACCACCTTTGTAGAAGAATAAGAGCTGAGTATGTCTCCGTATTAACCAGAAGTCCTTTAAATAGCAAAATTCAAGCTTCTATGACAATCGCATAAAGTATGCAACTCTCATAAGTCGTTATAAGAAAAGAAATAAGTCTACAACATTCGATAAGCACGACAAGACACTCAACAATTACAAATCAATGAAATATACTTATATATGGATTCCTGATCTCTATACCCACGTTGCGGTCGAAAAAGCAAAGGCATAACAGTGATTTTTACAAGCCGGAAGTAGTGTTTTAAATCCAGTCGCCCGACGGCAAAGAATCTCTATATCTTGAATTTATAAATCCACTAGTGTCGTGAAATAAAATCAGTGTCAAGCCGTTCAAGTTCTATCATTTATAGGAAAAATATCGAAATGAACACTGTGAATCAGAAGAAAAGCTCTGCCAATAAACAATAAAACTGTAAGTAATAATATATTTGTACAAAATGTGAAAACATTGCTTATTTATGACTCTTGATTTCCCTAAAAAAAAATACTTGAAGGCATGCATACAGGAAAGCAAAAAAAAAATAATAATAATATAGTTTAGTTGATATAAAATATCATTGTGTGTAAAAAATATCGTGATTTTGTTTACAAATAAAAGCAACTTCATTTATTCGAAAATCAATTTGAAACCTTTCAAAATAAACCCATCTCCATATTATTCTTTTATGCCAAAATCTCCTCCAATACTTCGTGGCGATTCTTGTTGAATCTCTTCAACTCTCGACTCGAAACGATGTTCTCGGAGTAGTCTTTTGAGTTTAAAAAATAACCAAAATTCGCATGCTGTTAAATCTGGCGAATGCGCTGGCAGCGGAATGATGCGGATAAAATTTTTGGTGAAAAAATTTGATCCTCAAACTGGTTCTTACTGATCCTTCCGAAATTCCTACTAGGTCAGTAGGACTGTCAATAGGCATCTTTTGTGCCGTACAAAACCAAGTATAGCTCAAACATTAATGCAAATTTGTATGCGGAATTTGAGAGTACTTTTAGTGGTGGTGCTGCCTTTGGAATTCCAAAACCCTTACGTTGAACACACTTAAATAATAGGTTTGTTTATTGAGCTGCTCAAGGTTGCGCTAGGTTACTCTATCTCACAAAATTGTGTTTCATGACACTTTTTTTTGCTCTTACTTGCTCTACTCTCTATTTCATGAGTCCGCTCAAAGCAGATATAGAGCAACTTAGAACATAATTTTTTGTACTGACTTTTTTTGTAGAGTAAGATAGAGCATGCAAAATAATTGTTTTGACAGATCTGCCAAGTTTTTAAAATGAAAAGACTAAACTGGACTACTCTGCGGATATTCTTTTCTCATCATCTTTAGGCCATTTTGTATAAATATTAGACTTCCAGCTTATACAAAAAATAACTCTTGAAATAATTTGGCTTACACTTCCAATAGATACATTAAAACGAACTAAAATATTTCGAATTGAGCAGGCTTCATGCCCTACAAACCAAAGAAATAATTCTAAATGCATTTCGGCACTACACTTTAATTTCATGCGGCTTTTGGAACTCTTCTGAACTTTGATATTTATTACTAAACCTTTCAAATACGTCTCTCCTCACACGAAAATGCATCATAAACTCTTCATCTGTGTACTTTGGAATTACTTCTTTGAAGTAAGTTTCGATACAATTTTTTTTATTCCTCAAACCGGCAAATGCAATCAAATCAGCGTCCTCACTAGCTTCGGAGCTCACAATTTCTGATGAGAGTATAAGCGAATTATCTGAGTCTGTAGAATCTAGATATTCTTCCATGATTTCGGTGACAATATTTTTATCCATTTTTTATTTTGCAAAAATTTTATATGTACACAAATCCATATATCTAAAACATTTGACATTTGTCGAATGAAAGTTCAAACATTCAACTGTTTTGAGAATTTCTACCTAGAAAGTATGTCATGAGACTTCTTCTCTGAGTTGCTATAAATTTTTTGACAGCTGCTCTAACTTACTCTGCTCTACTCTGTTTTAAGTCTCACTAAACAAACCTAATACATCTCCTACGAATGAGTGATATGGAAGTAATTAAGGTATTTCAGTGAGCTTCAAATTGTTTTAGAATATATTTCATTTCTAAATAAAAAAAAAGATTGCTATGCCAACCGAATAGCACTTGAAATTAATTTATTTGTGAATCTTATTCCGTTTAAGGTGTAGAGCCAATTTAGAGGTTGAAAAATATACCCATTTTCAAATATTTATTTTAAGAATATGGGAAAAGAAATGGAATTTATATTTGACTTGAAGCATAAAAAAATATTCTTTATTTATTATTTAGTTACAAAATGACAGTGATGAAGTCCTTTATTTAATTCATGTCTTTTGAAAAGCGTCGATGGGAGTACCGATTTCTTCTAAAATATGAGACCTAGAACAGAAAAGCAAAAAAATTTTATGATCTACAAACTATGGTCCCTGGAAGTAAGTATGCATTTATTTTTGAACCAATTTTTGTGAAAGCGGCACACTTCTTTTTGAAAATATTAATTTTTGACTAAAAAATACGCACTAATTTGATAAGAAAAATGTATATGTGTGAAGCTATTATAAAAATTTTATATAAATCGATCAAATGGTATGCGCATAATCTGTTCTCCCAATTTGAAAAATGTGATTTTGAGAAAAACACGTTTAAAGTTTTCATTGCACTCAGCGCACGCTCTGAGGCGCTGCAGCAAAATGAAAAGTTCAGCTCTTTGAAATATTTCTTGTTCACTTTAACATCAATTTCATGTAATTTCTGGAACCCAAAGGCTGCCTGTGAGCCAAACAAAAGTTGTACTTTCCAAAATCCTCGCTTCACTCCTTAAAAATAATTTATGAAATGCAGTTTTTTCTTAAATGAAGAACAACGTCGCAGGCAAACTAAGTCGTTCTTTAGAGTGTGTTCTAATAGCCCAATTAGTTATATTAATTATGCTTTAATATTCAGCACTTAGGTGAGTGTTCACACACATTCAATTAAGCTAAAACAATTAGTGTTTAATAGTTAATATAAATTTTTTCTGAGCAAAATGAGCTTTGATTGCAAACTAGTGAATATTTTAAGGAAAAGGAAAAAGGATAATTCAACCAAGAAACTAGTATCCTATCTTTTAATTGCTCAACTGCCCATAATTAGTAAATGGAGTGTCTTTGTGAACATAATTTTATTTTGTCTCTCTTTTCAAACATTTACAGGTCAGTTGAGTTGGTTGTCTAATTACCGATCAGTTCAAAAAATGATTGATCACACCCTAATTTGCAGCATTTTGAGCGGAAGTCTTTGAACTCTTCGTGTTTTCAGCGGCCTTAACCGATGCAAAAATTCGAATTTAAGAATTCTTCAGTTTCATTTAAAGCGTGTTTTCTTTGAAAATTTAAATATAATAAATATAATAAAATAAATATCATAAAAGTTTTTTCTTTCTAACAACTGGCTTGCCTATAGCGGGTAATATAAATCTCATGAAATATATTTTACATTTAAACGGTATTTCTTTGCACAGTTTTAGAAACTACACTAAATATGATCATCGATTTATTTTCCACAACAGTGTATGCATGTAATGTATGTATATTTGTTTTTGTTTTGTTTATGTTCTTTTTGCGAATTTCTAATTAATGGATTCCCCATTAGCGCATTGCGGTGCTATAAATATTTGGACTGCTTTTTAACATTTCACCCAAATCACTTTATTTGTTGGTTATTTATTTAATTTTATTTATATATATTTTTTTTTTTTTTATATCCGACCCATTTTCTTTTAATTAGTTGTATATGTACATACATATGTAAGTATGTTTCCATTTCTTTGAATAAAATATTGCTTTTGTACTCACTTTTAACAACCAAATCGGCCGTGCTCGTCGATTGTCCCATTGTATTTATAGCGGTGACTGCATACCGCCCGGCATCCGCCACGCCCACTTGCTTCAACTCGATGCTGACGCGATTGCAACGATTTTCGATCTTCAAACGTTGATTGTCGAACAATTGTTCGCCGTTCTTCTCGACTTTGATTTCGGGTGAGGGGAAACCATCATAGATCGCCTCCATAGCCACATCTGTGCCCTGATCGACAATCTTACCCGTCAGTGGTGTGGTGAAACGTGGCGCTATTTGTTTGCGTAGGCGCGTCGGTGATTCAGGCACCGCAACACCAACAGCTGTGCCACCGGCATGAGTCGGTCCATTGCCAGCGGTGGCAGGAGATTGTATGAGTGTAAATGATTTTTGCTGCACATTTGGTGTTGGCATGTCTTTGCTTTTGTGTAATTCCTGATAGTGATGTGTCTCGACCACTTCGGGCTGTTGTGCACCCAACTGTTTTAACGATTGATCAATATGCGCCGACGAATGATGAATCTCCGTTTGTGGCATATTTCCCTCGAATGAGCTAATTTGTGACGTCGACGTAGTGGTGAAGGTTTGCTTCTTAATGGTGACGCGTGACGATTCGGTATTGTGCTCTTGTGTGGAGGTCTGCAGATCGCTACTGGCGGGCAGTAATTGCATGCCTGGTCCAAGTAAATTCAAGTAGGCAGCACAAGTTGCCTTACCAATCTCATTCTCAGCCACACAGCTTATCTTACCCACCGTGTCGATGCTGGCCTTCTGTATGGTCAGCACTTGTCGTTCGCCGCTGGTGGATACTAGGAAATTGTGACCATGTACAGGTTGGTCGTTGAAGCACCAATGCACTTTCGGCGTCGGCTTTCCCTTCACAATACACTCAAACTTGACCATATCTTCAGCGTAGGCCTGTTTGTCCGAGAAGAGTTCCTTGAATTCGGGACATGTATTTTTATCCATGGGCTCCACTTGCAGGCTGCGTTGATTTTCGGGCGCATTGACGCTCTTTACGTTCAATTGCGAAAAGCATTTGGCATCACCAGCATTATTCGACACCTTCACCGTGTACACGCCACGATCGTCGGCCACGACATTCCGCAGCGTTAATTTGAAAGCGCCTGTCGCGGGGTTAACGCTCGTTGTAATACGTTCGCATTCACTCAACTCCTTATTGGCAAGATACCACTTGGCGTTGAGTGGTTGATCGCCACTAACGCTCACCTCCATCTCCACCGTCTCACCCTCGTCGGCGAGCACGTCCGTTAGGAATTTATCGAATTTCGGCAGTGTTTCCTTTGGCACTGACTGACGTTCACTCTGCGCGCGTGTTGCAGGCTCAGCTATATTCAACGGCGTTACTTTGAGCTCACAACTACTCGAAGCCTCACCAGCTGAATTGATGGCGACCACTTTATAACTACCCGCATCCTCTTGATACACCTCCTGTATGATTAACGAACAACGATCACCTTGGAAGAGCAACTGCACATCGGCCGACTCTTTAACGGGTCGCTCATTGTGATACCAAATCACTTCGGGTTCCGGTTGACCGACAATGACACAATCCAAACGCACCGGCTTACCTTCGAATATCGACACATCTTTGAGTGGTAGCTGTACCGAAGGCTTAATCGGCTCCATATCGGATGCCATTTCCGAATCGGATGTCTCGTTCGGCAGACGTCCTTTAACAACAACGTTGCACGAACTATATGCCTCGCCAGCTAAATTTTTAGCTGTTAACACATACACTCCGGCGTCGTTGGGGTAAGCTTGGGGGATTATGAGCGTTGCGCGGCCGTATTCGTACTGAAATGAAAAGCGTTGCGAAAATTTAGTAAACCATTGGTGAACAATCGGAAGTGTGTAGGCATACATGCAGATGAAAACATATGTCGCTATATGTATGTGTGTATGTATCAATATGTGTAATATGTATATATTTATATGGGTCCATGTACATTAGAAAATGATGTGGCAAATGAAAGTTCGAAAAGCAACGAGAAATTCGCCGTGGTGAATTTTAAGCGATATTCTATGCGCCAACCTGTGTGTGTGTGTGTGCGTGTGTGTGTGTTCAATGGCAATATGTGGTGAGTTTTTAAATAAATTTGTATTCAATTACTATTCTGTCTATTTAAATGTTTTCTTTCGTTCTTTTCTTCTTTTTTGTTTTTTGTGTAATTAAAATTTTATTTACAAATTTTCGGATTTATATTATGATTGAGCAGAAACTGGCTGCGAGGCTACGGCATCCGGCAGACTAACAGGCTGATGTTTAATTTTATTAACTCAAATGATGGAATAAAATGGATGAGGGCTGCGTGGGCGTAGAGGAGTGGGCGAATTTTTATGTTTTGCTGTTATATTTTCCAAATTTCTGGGGATTAAAACTCAAAAGATTTGTACAACTGATTAAGTAGATATCTTTTCTGATTTTTGTAAACATAAAATCAGCTTAATCCTCTGAAGGATATAGGGACAGAATCTGCTATAGCAGGGTCGACGGCGCACTGACTATGTACGATTCATACTCATTGTGGGGAATTAGTTTTAGCAAATTTCTAGCATATAAAGTCGTTTGAGATGCCTTTAAGTTGAAAAAATCAGAACGAAACCAATTCGGGAGAGATATTGACGACAGTCAAAGAGCTTTTTTTCCCGCCAAGTGGATCGCTGTTGTTGCAGTATCACCGTTTAGCCGGACGAATGACAAAAGTCATAAACTTCCATTGATTATGAAAGGATTATGGAACTGATAAAAGACAACTGAAAACCACATTTTCTCCCCAGACTCCCTCGGCAGATGAAAGTTAAAGTTTTTAAGCATTTTAGGAATCTGGCAAAAATTTTGAATATGTTTTTTTTTTCAAATCCCTCATTAAATTTTCAATAGATTTATGAAAAAAAAAATATTGAATTCAAAAAAAAAGGGAGATTATTTTGAAAAATTAATTTCTGAACGCCCAAATCTATGGTAATTAAGTAAATACAAAAGCAAATATTCAAATTTCTCTCCGTGTAACTAAGCAGATTTTCAATCGCTGCTCGTTAGTTCTTCGATGGATTGATGTACTTGATTGAATGTGCGTTTGTTTAAATTTGAGTTTGACTAAGGACAATGAATTATTTCTGCTCATTAAATAAATATTCTCACCACAAAGTAACTGTAATCGACGTATTTAGCTTGCGGGTGGTTTTGTTTATATACTTGTTGTAAAATATATTATATACATATGTATGTGTGTGCTCATATCTATATCTGTATCTATGCACAATATTATGTTTATCTATAGTTTTCGATCTTTTTTACTTTTTTTTATTTTTATTTTTTTTGTTGTTGTTAAAATGCTATATTTAAAATTTAGAATTGCTAAATGTAAACAAATATATACATATAAGCATGAGTTATATTGAGAAGGCTGAACAGTACTTTTATATGTATGGATATGTATTTAGCTTGCGTTATGATAGTTGCAAGCCCATTAGGAAAAATTAAATTAAATTAAATTTTTCAAAATTTCTTTAAATGGATATTTTTGGTGATTTTTTTCTTAATTTTATTTTCTAACTCCTAGTTAAAGATTTTTAACATATATCATATATAAATATTGTATGTATTTCATATACGGCGACTATTACGCACAACTATTCGAAAAAGCAGGATTCGGGCCTTGGTTTGTCCAAAATTAATTTTATTAATTACACTCCTCCTCAGCAGAGAATGACAAACCCTCCTAGTGATTTTCTGAACTTCATAAACTCTATATTACTCTATTCGTTGCAAAAACATAAAGAAACATACCACCAAGTAGAGCAGAGGCTCGGCCGAAAATCGCTTCAGCGGTTACAAAATCCCAATAATATAATCTTAACATATAAAAATGAATGTTTGTTTGCTAGTGACGCAAGGGCTCGAAATTCGCAGAGGCTGGTCGTTGTGAATGTGGGAAGGTTTAAAAATATAAAAACCTTGTAGTTTTTCTGAGGGAAAAGTCAGAAAAATGAAAATTTGAAAACTGACTTTTTTCCAAACAAACTTTTTTCCATTTTTTTTTAATTTGTTTTTTTTTTTCTGATTTGTTAATTCGAACAGTTTAGATTTGTTGGTGAATATACCTAAACTCATTTCTCTCATGTAAAAATTTTATGTCCGTTTGAAAAAAAACAGTAATCTCCAAAAATTTCCAAATATCTCCAAAAAAGACTCCAAAAATTACCGACCGATTTAAGGTTTTGGCAGATTTTTTCCGATTCCTGGGAATGTTTTTACTAAAAAAAAAATCGGAAAGTGGACAAGAGACTGACCTGTTCGGAGAAAATTTATTCACGATTCGGCTTGCTTGAAATTTGCGGAAGAGGCGCCTTTTTGCTTAGGTGAGCAGGAAGAAAAACTACTCTTTTCTCCGAGAAGTGGCCGGGGAATGGCCTATTCAAAAAGTCGGTCTATTCCGCTCTACGGCAAGGGGGTCAATATAATATGGTTAAACCAAAAAGGTTGCATTCCCATAAGTATTGAGTAAATAATAATGATAATTATGATAAAAAACATCCCATGATTTTTTAACTGAAAGCCCTAACAGCGAGTGCTCTTCTTTTTCTTAATTATAGAATTTATAAATAATTATAATAAATAAATAAAAAATATAACAATTTTTATATTTTTTCGGCATACATTCAATGTATATATACATACACATGAATATATAGATATATGCATATGTGGTGAATATGTATAAATAATATATTTTTGCAAAAAAAAAATGTGCTTTGATCCAGATATCCAGTTTATACCACGATTCCCAGTCAAGTTGCATTAAAATTTTATTTAGCGCTCAATTACAGAGCGAATGCAATATAAAAAATTAAACTGGAATAATATAAAACTAAATAAATTTTTTCCATGAAACTAATGTAGTGGTAAAGAAAAATTTATTTTCGGAGAAATAATAAAAAACAAAAGTTGGACATAATGACCAAAGTTTTTTGAACAAAAAAAAAAAAAAAAATGAAATGTTAATCCCATAAACTCATAAATAGAAATGAAAAGAGAATTTTATGGCGATATTCAAAATCAAGATGCGCTAAAAATAGCTAATGTAAGTCTATAAAAATGGTGAATGAATTAGACACTGCCCAATTTTAATTCCACTGAACTGTCTATACTAAAATTCACTTAATTTTTTTTTGTGATGGGTCATCACATAGTAAGAGAGACTCAGAGAGATTGTCTGATTTGAAAGCTTGTTGATGCTCATCTCCTAGAATGAAGTGCTGGAGAGTATCTGTTAGGAGAGTAATTATATATTTATAATTCCCTTAGCTCTTGTTTTTTATGATAACAGTCAGTCGGTAAACTGGACAAGAAGCAGTAAAAACAAGAAAGAGGAGCTGTCTTCGTGTATGGCGAAGTGTTTATACATTTAATGACCTAACACAATTTGTGTTATTTGATTTTATTTTAATTTTTTTTTTATTTTTTTTTTTAATTTTCATAGCTGGAAAATTGCTAAATTAATCTTATTTCAACAATTTTCGGTGACAATGTCTATTTGTCCATACGAATTGTATAACACCAAATTTCATGCTCTTACGATACTTTTTTGGCCGTTTATTGACTAAAGCCTCATATCTGACAAGATCGATTTATGGGAGCTACAATATATGTTATGGTCTTCCGATTTCGATCATTTTCAAAACCTGTATGTAATACATCAAATGACAAAGTGGAAAAATCGGTCGTATATATATATATTGGTTCGGTCTAGCTAGTTGGGATGAACAAACATTTCAATATAAAAATACATATGTGTATCTAATTTGGTTGAAAAACTGAGGGACGAGTTATCTCAGGGGGCTTTTCATTGAGTCCCAACGTGACGGGTCCACAATCTTAACGCACAACCGCCGCAAGAGCCGTTTGCTTCACGACCGATTCCCACTAGCAGCTACACCTATGATGAACAGGCGCTGCAATTAGAAAATCTCGTAAAATATCTCATCGCAGTTGCGACTAGAACCCTAAATCACTGCTGACAGTCATTACTTTCAAGTCGTAAATAGCTTCTTCTATCTCGGAACCAATTTTAACACCAGCAACAATGTCAGACTTGAAATCCAACGCCGAATCACTCTTGTCAAAAGGCGCTTCTTTGGGCCGAGTTGACAATAGAGAATTAAATTCCTCTTTCGGAATGGGCGAGTTGTTGTTTGAAGTTTTCGGAAGAAAAGTTTTGCATAAGAAGTTTGGTCCTCTACGAGTTGTGAACGGCAAATATCACAGTCGACGGAACGATGAGCTGTATGAGATACGCGGCGACATTGACATAGATCAGTGAATGTAGAGATAGCGACATGTCATGTCATGTCAGGTCATGTTGAACGAGTAAGTGAAAGACTTGCACTCCATTGGAAAGACCAAGTAGAGAAGGACTTGACTGTACTTGATATTTTCATTTGGCGAAAAACAGCAAAAAAAAAGAAAGAGGGGCGTGCTATTGTTAACTCGGTGGTGTTCACGCCGGTAAAGAAGAAGAAGAATAAGTTTTGCGTACAAGCAGCGTATATCTGTTCCCCTTCTGGTACTTATATACTTCAGCACAAAGCTAATATACTATAGAAAGGTACAAAAAGGACGCATGTAGATAGGTGCCTTGGTATAAGGATGTCGTTGAACAGGGCTCATATTTAAGCCAAAATAGGTCCGTTGTTATATCACATTGATCGCATTTTTTCGTAAACCAAAATTCTTAGACGAATCTTAGTACGTTATATGCCTTGGCTTCTGCCACCCGATACAGACTATCAAA